TATTTCTCTCGTGAGTTTGGGTGTAATTTGTGGTTGTCTATATGTGTGTCCATGGCACCCGCGACACAGGGTTTCCCTAGTGCGGGGCTATGTTGAGTGTGTGCGTTATTTATTAAAAAAAAAAAAAAAAAAAAACTCCGCTCCGCACACTTTTGCTAGAACACTCGATTATTTTCATTAAAAAAAATGTATCTATCCTGCCTCACCCGCCATATTCCCCTGACCTAGTACCTTATGATTTTTACCTCTTTCCAAATCAAAAATTAAAGAAAAATTAAAAGGCAAGAGGTTTGAAAGAAAAGAAGATACCCTGGCTGCTTATAACTCGGAGATTTCTGAGATGTCTAAAGAAGAGTGGTCATCGATACTTGCCAAGTGGTTTAGACGAATGTAAAAGTGTATACGTGTTCACGGTGAACACTTTGAAAAAATCGATACCTGTAATAAAGAATAAATTTTATAGTTTTTGACGAGAAAATTTCTAAGAATTAAAAAAGCAATTAATTTAGTTTCATTCACAGTCAGAGTGGTCGAGTGGCTTGCACACCGGTTTTCATGGTGTCGCCATCTCTGAGGTCCCGGGTTCGATCCCCGGTCGGGTCAGTGTAGAAAACTAACTTTTCTATATTGTCTCGGGTCTGGGTGTTTGTAGCACCGTTGTTGTTTCCGGTCTCCATAACACAAGTGCTTTAGCTACTTACTTTGGGATCAGAGCAACATATGCGATGTTGTCTAATATTTAAATATCATTTTTTATTTATTTATCTAGCTTTTCGGTGAAGGAAAACATCATGATGAAACCTACACGTCGAAGAAGGTTCACAACCCTCGGAAAATGTGTGAAGTACTCAGTTCACATTGATCCAGAGCGTGGTGGATTATGGTCTAGACCTTCGCTTAAGAGGAGACCTGTTCCCAGCAGTGGGACGTAAAAATGGATTGATAACGACTTAGGTATTTCGTCGGTGTTTTGTAGAACGTTTGAAAGCGCCATTTCGAAAAAGTTTTCATGGGAGCATGTTTTAGGGTTTAACACGTTTTTTTTTTAAATATATACCTATTTTAAAATATATTCCTTTTAATTATGTTCAAGTTACAATTCCTTGATTCCTTCCCTGATAAATTGTTCGAAATGGCATTTTCGACCTTTCTATAAAACACCGGCGATTTGTCAATACATTATGTAGTAGGTATACATTATTTAAAGGTCTTTGGCTACTCGTATGATTGATAAATTAAACATCACAGTGAATTCGAAGTACATAGATTGCAATAACAATGGAACTAGTCATTAGGGAATTGATCGATTGCTCTGTTCCTAGTTTCATCATAGCTGTAGTAAATAGACTTTGCCTTACCGAGATGGAAATGAATTAAATATAATTCGAATAATCGAGGCGTAATGGTATCAGGTAATAATAAAACAAAGGGAAAAGTACGATGTTGGCCGCTTGCACGGGAACGAAGGATTTCAATTTGGAACGTGATGAGACGAGTTTTCATTTATGTACAGTCGTCAACGCGAATAAGTACTGAGGAATGAACGTTAAGATATTTGTAATTCGAGTATCACACGTCCATATGCTTAAGATTATTCTTAAGAAGAAAAAAGATTCTGTTCTCTAACTGAGAATAACAAATTATTTATTAGTACACACTTTTTCATGATTTTTGTTTTATTCGTCATCGTCAATTGAAATAGTACATTGTGTATTAGGCACCGCAAAAAGAAATTACTAACGAGGGTGTATTAGTATTAGCCCGAAGCCAAACGCTGAGGGTTTTAATAACTCGAGTTTTGTATACTTTCACCGCTTGTGATATATACAATGTTGTTCATCACATTTGCGAGGAAACAAATACAATATAATTATGGTTCACAACTTCACAACATAATTATAGATTTGGCAAACGGCGGGTATTTTTTTTTAATTCTTTCATAGAAAATGCAACTCGAACTAAAATGTTGTAAAAAGCAAACAGTCGTGATTGATTGTAAAAAAAAAATTGCTAAATTTTTATTAATTAAATAATTAAAATTAATTATAAGAAATTCTTAATAATAAGTATTTAAGTAGCATGTGGCTAAATTGCAATTAAATTTCTGGTTAGACAACATTTTAAGCGAATGTTTTAATTTTGAACTTAAGTAACCTCCTTGCTTGAACTTGAAACTGACTTACGTAAGGAAGTACATATGTCGTGAAACAAATTAAAAAAAAACTCCTTAGCGACAGTGGTTGTAATGGAAAGAGAAAAGGCCCGTGGGTTTTATTTGGGGCATTATAGTCAAGTTAGCCACACAAGAGGAAGTGTGAAAAGAATTTTAATCAATACATTTTTGGGGCTGGAGGCCAATAAAATATATATAAAACCCTTACAACCTTTATGAATTTTGCAGATACCTAGGCGTTATTAAACCATTTTTACATTTAAAGTAATCTATTTATATTTTATGGTTACGATAGCTACATAGCTAGCATTTATATATGTCGAAACATTGTTCGTGCTCTACATCTTAGATGGATTATATTCAAGTAAAGTCATAAACTTGTGAGCAGTAGGCAGATTATAAATAATGAAGTCGAAAGCAAAAAGTTCACGTTCATACAACTTGGTTTGCTGTAAATCTCTCACCCTATAAATTTACAACGCATTTATTTATTTCTCTGGGCAAATTACATGGAAAATAATAATGAGCTGAAGTCATATCTCATTACTTAAGTTAAAGCTTAAAGGCTGTGGACAGGTTGGGGAGCCCTGCTTCTTTTAAAACTTTGAATGGACTTATCTTTTAAATTACTTTTCAATTTTGAAACTTAGTAAAAATACATAAAGATCATTTTGTGTTAGTAATATGCTCTTGCGTTGGTATAGTTTGGAAAGGGCATCATGGAGGCGTTCGTTAGGCAGTTCCATAATTAAAAAATAAAATTGACGCTTGCCCGACCACGTGCTGAAAGTTGCAAAGCCGTTTGCAATGCGAAAGCGCATTTCTTTTTTTTTTCTTGTTTAAAAGCTCTGACAATCGTGACTTACGTTTTAGGGATTAAATTCTTTTAGAGCGTATTGTGAATGCCAAAAAGTACTTTTTTTAAATTACGAAGAAATCTTGTCAGGTCTTTAACGGTGTAATTAGCCTCTGAGTATTTGATATAGAATCATTGTAATATTTTTTAATTAAAATTAAAAGTTTTGTTAGAACAGTGGTAGCCCAGATAGTGAACGGTTGCGGAACGGAATTGGAGGGTTGACGGTTCGAATACCTATGGCGGACATGTAGATAGATAGATAAACTAACTAGATGAAATAAAAAGTATATAGGTGCATTTGTGTTTTTAATGTCAATGTTATGTTATTTTTACTCTTAAAATTTTCAAAATTTTTTTGTTTAGTAGGGTTTGTGTTAAAGATATTTGTACTGAGTTTCGACATTCTGACATATAGTGACATCTAGTGAGAGAATTTAGAACCGTCTTCACCGCAGCTCAGTTGGTACAGTACTACGGTGCAGTATGGTCGTGGGTTGAAGTCTCATCGGGTCGAAAAGTTTTTTTATGTAAATAAATGTAATCATAATAAATACTAGTGGAGTTATTTTACAGAAAATATCTCAATAATACATGTAAAATTTTCATACCCTTATTTTATAATTGATTATTTTGTATACAGTCTGTACATAATTGATTAAAGCAAATAAACATTACTATAACTTTTTTTGACTTTGAATTGACTTTTGTAGTCAATCAGGGCCAACGAGAAGAATTAAGTTATTTGTAAGCAAAAATATAACGACTATGCGTAAAATTATACATTGAAATAAAATACATATTAATGTGTAAATAGTGCATCTAAAAATAACCTATTAGATATGTAAGTGCACGGGCGAGTGTGAATATACGTAAGTGTCTACAGTGTTGGAGTAAATTGTGATTGTAAATAGATTTTAGTGTTATATAATATATTTAGTATATATCTATAATGATTTTAAAAACTAAATTAATAACAAGTGTCCTACATGTAATTAATTTAGTTAATTGTTAAATATTAATTTATTTTATTCCATATGTTAATTACGTATCCGTATCGTAGGCACCGTCAGGTACACAAAAATATAAATCAGCAACAGGTACGTCACATAAAAACCAATAACTCAATTCACCAGACTGTTATTGGACACTGGCAGCATTACCGCGCTGAATGGCCAACGATACTTGTTGCACCAAGTAAGATGGAGAGCGTGGATCACAGCCTCTATCTCTAAGCCGATGACCCAACTCCCTGATGAATTTATAATGTGAATAGACCAAAGTAATCTATTTTATTTTCATAATATACAGGCAAGGTACAATAAAAACTTAACTGTGGCTAAGGCCTGGCAGATGATGTCGTTGAGGGCTGCATGCCGGGAGATACCAAACTCGGCGCCTGACAGGAAAGACCGTGGTGACCCAGAGCACTTACCTACGTCTTTGCCGCACAGACATCTATGCGGGGAGCAAAAGTTAAAATAAAATTTCATTCTAGATAGACCACGAGAAGAGATTTTTGAACTGAGAGTAAATGTTGTCGGTACAGTGACTTGAATTTGCGTTTGTACGTACCTATGACTTTAATTTTCAAAGGTACGCGTATTTGTGAGAGTTTAGTACCATATAAAGTATAGTATTGCTCGCTAACGGTGAGGAAAAACATAGTATTGAAACCTGCAAGTCGAATAAGGACACAACTCTTGGAAAAACATGTCAAGTCCTCAACCCGAACTGTGTCAGCGTGATAGGCTATAATAATATAATCTTACTTTTCAGGAGACCCGAGCCAGCAACGGGACATACGTCTCAATACGAACACTAATATGCTAGGATATCAGATATAGATTATATATTATATATATATAGATATAGATTGTATGATTTTGATTGTTGTAGCGCTTAATGAAACAGTACGCCTGATCACCGGCTGTCTCAAACCAACTCTCCTCAATGTGATATATCCTCTAGCAGGTGTTGCACCACCATACGTGTGTCGGGTCAAACAGTCGACACTCTTTATATGGCCACCAAAATCCCCGAGCTCGCCAAAAGCCGTAAAAGGGTCCTGCGCACAAAGGCTACGAGTGACCATTCAACTATCACAAGGTGTGCATTGTGGAAACGGAAAACCCCCCCATCACCCTGATTTCATAAAACCTCAAGAGCAACCACCACCAGGTTGCGATCAGTGGTGGCCCGTGTGGAAGTCCTTAAATCATCTTTGCACTCAGATAGTTTTCAGGTAGTTAGTAGCAGGTTTGTAAGCAGCAGAGCTCCTTGTGAAAGAGTGCGTCCAGTGAAGTACTGCCACCTTACCTATTTCTGGCGCCAAGCAGTAATGTTAGCATTACTGTATTCCGGTTTGGAAGGGTAAGGGTGCTGGTGAAATTACAAGAACATGGGACTTGTCAACTTATGTCTCAGGGTGACGCACTGTGGCAGTGACCCTCAGATCTTTGCGATTTGAAGCTCTGAGTGGCACTGCAACTGTTATGGACAGGCGTGTAGCTTACCATCAGGCGCACGACTTGTTGTTCAGTATACACTGAGTTGATAAGTATCAATGACGATGAATAAGTATAGTTTCTTCATGTTAGTCATGTTATTCATATTGTTGATGAGAAGGATGTGTGTCAGGACCGTACCAAGTGGAAGGTGGTATGTTGTCTTTACCTACCCCTATGGGTAAAGGGCGTGACGTATATGTATATAAATGTGTATTATTGAATCTATTATGTTGTATTTATTATATTGTAACAATAAAACGTACTTAGACGTCTATATAGATAAACTTATAAAATTATAAAAATTGCTAAATAGGTGTTATGCTCTTTGATTAACATTACTACTTAGTCTTAGTATATTAGGTACATTATAGAGTAAAACTGTGAGTAGAGGTTTCTGACACCTCTGTGAAAATTTACATAGTTTGTATAAAACATAATCATGTAAGGTGTCTTCTAGTGTCGTATAGTGCATTAAAATTATTTATTGAATTTTTCATACATTTTTTATGATAGTAAGTGATGGGAAGAACAAGTCGTGCGCCTGGTGGTAAGCGACACGCCTGTCCATAACAGTTGCATTGCCACTCAGAGCTTTAAATCACAAAGATCGAGAGGCTGCTCCCGTCACCCTGAGACATAAGTTGACAAGTCCCGTGTGCCTGTAATTTCACCAGCACCCTTACCCTTCAAAACCGGAACGCAGTGATGCTCACATTACTGCTTGGCGGCAAAAATAGGTAAGGTGGCAGTACTGTCCTGGACGAACTCTTTCATTAGGAGAGCTCTACTGCCACTAAATTCCACCTTACATTATAGAAACAGTGTTCAAATATGATGTTTATAAAAGTGACAGTTGACTTTTGGCTAGATTTGAAATCGTAGGGTTCTACATTTAATTTCAGCATACCCACCCGGCGCCAGAACGAGAACCAAATCAAATTGTGACATACACATAAATCTTTTGTGACCGGACAAATAATTAAGGCGCCAATAATTACCCGCGGTGCTTAAAATGCAAATCCTGTCGCCTGGAGTATCTTCAAAGTAAGTAGGGTAACGAAAAAAACATTTCCAGAGGACTGAGCTTAGTAAAGCCTTGGTTCATAATTTTGAATTAGCACATTATTGTCTCCTGAATAAGTCTTAAATTTTTTAAAATTTGTTTTATGATATCAACTAACGGGATTATTGAATATCATGATGTCTCGAGTTCTTAGGTTTTCGCGATTGTTACACATAGGAAATGAAACTATTTTTCGAATTTAAATCGCGTATATTTGTTTTTTCAAACAAACTTTTTTGTTTGTTTGAATAAGCAAATAACATTCATTTAATTTCATTTATATTACATTCATTTCCTATAATATTTTCATGATGTTTTTAAGACCACGATATTCTCTATCTATTGTGTTAAATACTCCATTAGTTTGTTATTATTATTGACACGTATAGGTAGCCACGTTGAGGCAACAGACACTGGTTCGAGTGCAGTCGCGTCGAAGGAATTTTCTTTATGTTTCTTTCGATCTTTGCATCAATAGGTAATAACTCGAAAAAGGTGGTTTTAAAAACATCATGAAAATCGGAGTGATTTCGTTGCTCTGGTGCTCATAGTACAGAGGGTTCCCTGGTTCGAGACCAGGTAATTAATGTGATTGTGTAGCACGTCATTATTAACACTGTAAGTGCCTTTTCATGAAAAGTTAGCAAAGCGACAGTTTTCGCGGCCATACTAATTGTTTTTGACTGAGATGGATGCGACAACCTGAGGACGAGATGACGCACATTGGGAAATCCCTATGTACAGCAGTGGATTACGATAGACTAACAACGATACTAATTCTGTCGTTGTTAATTAAAATGGGTGCATGTAACATTTCTTCAAAAAAATTGTTATGTATACTACTATATATTTTTCAATTATTTTACTAACATAATTTTAAGTATTTCTGTTACTAACATCTTATCTATATTTATTTATTTTTTTACTGCCGTGATTCGTTAAAAAAAATGCTTATATGTCATACATTTTATTTTTTCCTAGGTGGATAAAGTATGAAGTTACCGCAAAAGAAAATACATTTATTATAATTATTAATACAAAGATCGAACACTCAGAAAAAAATCCTTCGATCCGGTCGGATTCGAACCGACGTCTTCTTGCATACCGTGGCAGACGCTATACCAACTAAGCCACGGAACGAACCAACGGACCTCACGAATTTTTCTATGTGCTAGCGTCGTGTCTTTGTATTTGGTTTTTCAACGACTTTTTAGTTGTAGCGCCATCTATGAGAAATCTATGAAAGATTTATCACCCAGTTAATACCTTTACAGCTACCAGTCCAGGCGAGAGATGTCGCTATTCACTGTATTAATTAAATTTTTATTGAATTGATATTCAATTCTTTTTTGTGAAATTGCTCCACTAGTTTGTTATAATTATTAGTACAAAGATCGAACACTCAGAAAAAATTCCTTCGATCCGGTCGGATCCGGTCGCTACGACTAAAAAGTAGTTGAAAAATTCGTGAGGTCCGTTGGTTCGTTCCGTGGCTTAGTTGGTAAAGCGTCTGGCACGGTATGCAAGAAGACGTCGGTTCGAATCCGACCGGATCGAAGGAATTTTTTCTGAGTGTTCGATCTTTGTATTAATAATTATAACAAACTAGTGGAGTAATTTCACAAAAAAGAATTGAATATCAATTCAATAAAAATTTATTTAAAATACGTTTTATTAATTTAATTTTTTTAAACATTATTTCTCGATTTCGAGTTTTTGTCACAAGTTTCAACTAACGGCAGCAGAATTGTATGGAATCGTAATACCCGACGTTGTCCTTGTCGTGTGAAATGTTTAGCCTTTCCAAGCAATTACTAGTCTAGTGCAAAACTTAACATTGCTATTGCGCTAAAAGCGTTTCTGTCAAGTCATCCTATTTATATGCCTGGCAAGTATTTTAAGCTCAAACTCAAATAATTTTTTTTTTTCGTAGATAAGCAAATTACACCTGAAATCGTCTTATTGACTAAAGTTTACTGCTCATTATTATATAGATAGATAAATTCCCCTGAGAAGAATAAGCAGGAAATTCTAGGGGTTGCTTTTTGTAAATAAATATTTGTAGACATTTATCATTTACAATTCTTTTTTCCAAACATCTTAGAGCGAGACAACCTGCAAAAGGTAAACGGGTCACAAAGCTGTACGAGTAACCCTTAAATATAAAGTTTTTATTGCACTATTGTTTTAAAAGTCGTGAATGCGCAAATTGGAATATCAACCGGAATTTCTAAGGACCATCTTATTCTTAACTTAAAACAATGATGATTTTTATAATATAACATGCTAATAAATACTCTTAATATATTTATTTATGTACGTAAAGAGTATATATAGGTGAATATTTTAGTTTTATTTATATGATTATTTATATTTACATTTAGATTTTAATAAATAGTTATGGTTGTAGTAGTTATTATATTACAATTAGTTTAGCAGATTTTTCTTATTCACTGCGGCTAGGGTTGGCTTTAAAAGATCTCTAACTTGTATTTTTAAATATCTTTTCTTTGTGCAATAAAGAATTACTATTAATGTTTGTTCTTAACGTATCAATGTTAAAATGAATGTACTCCTATAAGAACTATTTAGCCCCATGTAGAAAGTAATATATGCGAATCGGGAACAGATAAGGGCATGAGATTTACACCTCGGCAAGTCATGTCTTATAATTTTACCGTAAGATGCCCATCGCATCCATGCTGTTGGATTTTTGTTTTGTTTTTAATTATTATAATAAAAAAAAAACAATTGCATAATGTAGAATTAATTGATTTGAAGAAAAAAGAAGTTTTTTTAGAGAAATATATTTAGTAATTTTTAAAAAATCAACTATGATATGCTGTTTGTTTTCATTTTTTGTAGTTGATAAAAAAACGAAGTAGTAGCAGTCGAGCTCCTTGTTCAAGAGTTCGTCCAGGGAAGTACTGCCACCTTACTTATTTCTGCCGCCAAGCGGTAACGTGAGCAGTGGTGCGTTCCGCTTTTGAAGGTAAGGCTGCTGGTGATATTACAGGCACTTGAGATTTGTCAACTTTATGTCTCGGTATTGCTCAGATCTTTGTGATTTAAAGCTCTGAATGTCACTGCTCCTGATATGGATCGGCGTCATGAAAAGTCATACGTTGAATTGGACGGACGACCAGAGGAAGGTGGCTGGTAGCGGTTGGATGTGGGCGGCGCAGGACTGGAAGAGTTGGCGCGCTCAGGGGGACACTTATTTTCAGCAGTGGATTCATGTAAGCTAATGATGATGTTGAGTTGATTATTAAATAAATAAATAAATAACGCACACACTCAACATAGCCCCGCACTAGGGAAACCCTGTGTCGCGGATGCCATGGACACACACATAGACAACCACAACTTACACCCAAACTCACGAGACAAATAATTGTAGGCCATACAACTATTTCTCCCGGCCCTGGAATCGAACCTGGGACCTCTGCGTGGCAGTCCGGCATGGTAACCGTTCGGCCACGGAGGCAGTTTAATTTTAAAATTATTATGAATAAGGATTGGATTAAAACGTACTAAATGATCATCTATCCTTGACTCCATCGTCACTTATCATTAAGTGAGAATATGGCTAAATGCTTGCCTATTACTAATTAAAAAAAGTGAAATCTGAGATCAGATGATATAACAGGCACAGTTGTGTCTCAGGATGACAGGCGCAGTGGCAGTGCCTCTCAGATCTTTAAGATTTAATTCTGAGTGGCACTGCAACTGCTAAGGACAGGCGTATCGCTTTCCACCAAGCCCACGACTTGTTCGTCCCGTCCCTTAATATCATACAAAAAGAAAGCGAATCAACAAAGCGATAAATTTGAATATGAAGAAAATGAATATATTATACTGTCAACAGCTTCTAAGTATTTACATTTTGGACTTTAAACTATAAACTGTCGTAATTCTTACACAGTAAGATTGCTGTAGCAACTTAAAGCCATTGAATAGCCGTGACTAGAGCCTAGCCTAAATTGCTAAGGAACCCTAGTTGGTGTGGGAACTGCGTCATTTGCGCAGTTATTATTTCGCAGACAATCAGGGTTTTGCTAGAGACAGTTCAGTTTAGAGGTGTGAAAATTAATAAAACATCGCCTGAACGCTTTTGATACTTATTTAATCTCTTTTTGCGATTTCAATGGAGTTTCTCTATAAAAATTTAATGAACAGTTTTAGATTGGAGTTTTTCTACATTATGTAATGGATAACTACTGTGTGCATTGTTTTGAGTATATCTGCTTTGGGTCAGCTAAAGAAGCTTTGATATTTTCTCTACAATCTTATGTATGTAGGGAGGACATGAGCAATGACATGTAGAGACAGAGAACTATTGGAAGCATTTGAATTGTGGTATTGGAGAAGTGGTGTATGAAAAGAAAAACCAATGAGGTATTAAGAATACTGCAGGAAAAGAGAAGCTTATTAAAGACTATAGAGAATAGAAGAGAAAAAATTTGTGGGCATCTGAGATACGTCATGACAATTTTCTTAGAAACTTCATAGAAGGGAAGATCGAAGGAAAAAGAGGCAAAGGAAGACGAAGACGAAGTCATTTAGATCCAATGAGGGAAAAAGTTAATGTTGTCACAAGTCATGAAATCAAAGTTAGCCTAGCTCTGAAATAAGAAGAAAGAAGAGGGACGCATCTCCTTCCACAAATCATGTTGACGTATGTTTTATAGATTCTAGTGATGGTATTTTTTTATAATATAAATTATATTATTACTATCTTTCTTTCTTTTTCCTTAAGTATATTGCTATCTTTTTTAGTTATACTATTTTTCTTAGTTAAAGTATCAACATTAGCATATCTACAATATCTATTAGTCCTTCGCAAAAAAAACCCTTTGAGAAAGCACAATT